TGACCCCGAACAAAACGGGAGTAACGTCTTATGAAAGGAAAATAGTATTATCTATGATTTTGTCGATATAAACTGTTTACGAGAGAACTTACTTCAAGCATAAGCCTATACACTATAAGTCTTTCCCATAGCTTTCGATAATCTCTACTAGTGTACAGCAGCAGCACCTTTCACGTAAGAGGTTAATTAATTTACCTTGTAGTGACGCATTGGACATGTCGGCGAGAGCGTTCAGCCTTTGACGATTTGCACACACAGTTTATGAGCGACGAGGTAAAGCGTCTCTATTTTGAGTGTTGTTGATCTCTATTCCGCCTTGTCGTTAAGAAATAACTAGGGGTATGCTGATGACATAGATTAATGTTGCGGAAAGTTACTATTACGCCAAATAGAGGTTGAGCAATTACGTCATTCCTTAGGATGGATACTCGAAGGCTAGGGGCGCAATAGGCGCATGCATATGATTAAAGCGCTGAGTAAAAGAGGTAGTAAACATTAGAAAGTCGAACCCAGCTCGTCAGGTCACTGTTACCTATTGCTAGAAATGGAACTACTTTTACATGCTGTGCAGTTACAGAGGTAATATGAAAGGTTCGAATCGAGACGGCCCATATCCGAGAAGGCGTATGATAACTAGCCGATTTTAGATACTATATATATATATATATATATATATATATATATATATATACAATATGCCTAGTTCTGAAATATGAATATTGCAAGGTATTCAACCATGTCTTATTATATTTTAAGCTTCAGAACCGATATTGTAGACTCATTTTGGATCAGATAATCTTCTTTCAACTTTATAGCCTAAACTTGAATCCGGACGTTTTAGATACTTCTGCCAGGTTAACTCATTGAATTATTTTTTTCACTGCTACCAATGTCTAACCTCAATTTCCAGATTTCGGCATGAACATAACATAAGGGCAACGACTGAACAGGGGTCAAATCAAGGCTGACGTAACGTAATAATAATAATTAAATCGAACTTTACTTAGTGTGAGCAAATAATTGCTTATTATCTTCCTTTCATTGAAACAAATAAACCTGCAGCATACGGTTCAGTCTACATAGGCCCTTCTAGGTAAGGTTAGGCCATATAAATTCAACTTACAAGATGACACAATGCGTTAATATTATTAGGCGTTATAGATTCCACAAGAAAAAAACTCAAATAACACAGTTCTGGCATGAAAGATGGCCCTTTAGTCGAGGCCATATGCGTACGAACGAAATACGTGCTTTGGTTCATGCCCAATCGAAAATTATTGATGTACTGTCTCCTGTTCTTTTGTTCGTTTGTCGTATAATAATAAGTTGTGTAAGTATACCGAAGGGTAATTTTTATCAAACTACTTCTTAAGAGGAGCATTCATTTCGTATGAGCAAGTCGAGGAAAACAGTTAAGCGGATTAGGCTTCACCACGAAAAGCCTGAGTAGTGGCAGCAGCATGAGCCTAAGCAGGACCATGTGTGAATAGGTCCATGGCAGAAGATAAACAGGAAAACAGAATTATTACTGGGCTAAGGCCAAGTGGCGCCGAACCAACCTGGGATGAAATAGGCGGTGAGCTGTTGACCGCTCGCTAGCAATCAGAACGCAGTATCACGCTTGGGTACATCCTGTGATAATCGCCTATAAGCCTTTGTACCTAGCATGCAAGCGACATACGCCGAACGCTTGGATATATTACAGAAGTGATGAGATCGAGCGTCGGAAAAGATACCCGACGTATTGCAGAGCTGTACAAGACTACCTGAATTGAACAACATCAGTAATGAATACAAATATTAAAGAATAGAACCAAAGAAGGCTATCCTGAGGAAAGCAATAGAAAAAAAAAAAAGGGCGGGTCTATTGGATCTCTCGATACAAAACTCGCATATATCTTACTTCAATTTGTAATTGACTAGTAAATCTAAAAAAAAAAAGATCAAGCTCCATAGTGAACCATTACAATTTTATATTTGATGACTAATCATACACACCGAAGGTCAAGTTCAACGTAGCCGTTATGGTATTTTTACGTATCAAAAAATGTGTGCTAATAAAAAGATGGTTTTTTATCCCATATTTGTATGGATGTGCTGAATAAGGGTTTGTTTTAAATGAATCTAAAATTGATCATTCCAGAATTAGTGGTCAGCATTTCAAATAAGGATGCCATTGTGCGGCCACATGATATATAAAGAATCGGGCAATAGCTAAATAGCAGTAAAATTCGTTTCTTTATTGAAAAAGATTTCGGGCAAGCGGTAGTATTTTATAATATGTTGGCTATTGCTTATGTCTTGCCTCGATTATGATATACACGGGGGACACAAAGGATTCTGGCGTTTTTATCAAACATACAAGTTATATCGCTTCAGAAATATACTGCAGCTCTTACGCGACCAATCAACTTAATTACGCTTGACAATAATTTAAGTAAAAATAAATCCTACAGTGCCTCAACTTCGCAAACGGTCCCTACACACCACGCCCTACAAAATGTTATACTAACAATTAATTAGGATTTTAGTTAACAATTCGGCTCCATATCGGATCTTTAGCTGAAGGTAAGGCTTCTGCAAGAGAACTCTGTAATTTTCTCTATAGACCTTTTAAATTTACAAGGACTCTTTGATTCGGTCGCCAATGTCGTTAATCATTGAATCTTCTGTTCCGTCTAACCAAAATGGACGTCAGATTGAAACAGAAGTCTCTTTGTACCATATCTGTGAAATTTCTACGAGAATACAAGCGCCCTACTAGCCGAAATCCTCTATAGGATATATACTACATATAAAATATCATTTAAATGTTAAGGGTACGCTAATGCCACGCCTGCGCTTAGTTGAGTGTGAGGTACACTGGAATACGTCGAAATACTTCGAAAGGCCACTTAAACAATCCTACATTTCAAAACAATTACGGGTAGAAGTCCGTGGCTAAAAGAGTGTGCCACAATTGAGCAATAGACAAACAAAGACAGGTCATTTGAAATCAATTAGAGTATTTTCGGGGGGACGTGGGTACGATAGAAGACAGTAGTTGAGAGCTAAGCTTCTGTGGTTTCGTAATCTTGTATAGAGACTTCAAAAAATAGCGAAAATTACAGGCTGCCAGCGGGATACACCCGAAAGAGAGAGAGAGCTTTAGACCAACACACGTTTCACAAATAGAAACATTACCTTTGCTTAAATATTATATACCGATTCACTTGTGTGCGTGGTAGGACTGGAAGTGGCAACCTAAGGTAGTTTCAAAAAGCAGATCAGCTAGAGAAAATTGAAGAAAAAAAGGCTTAATAATGCTTGGCAAAAAAGGCCAGACGCCATAATTCCTAGCCCGATGCCTCTGAAACATATACACAGTTTACGACTATTTATTAATATAGCTGACCTTTGACATACGACGTGGGACAATGTCTCTTGACGACTCTCAAGTCTTGACAGTCGTTTATATAGAGAGGAAGTGAAACGTAATAAAGCTGACAGTGGAAAAAATGATTCTAAGTAACTAACTCAGACTATCAAGCAATGCGTCTCTAGCTTTTTTTTTGCCTGCAACATGCCAGATTGTGAAATTAAAGCAGTATATAGATTTTATTGCGACGTTTCCAAAGATATTTTCATAAATATGTGAACATATAAGGTGACTATGTAGTCTGAAGAGAAACCTCCCATAATGGTGGTGTTTTCAGGACCATGAAAGTGACGGCAAGAATACCCCATTACAATTGATAGGTATTAGGTACAATACTGGCACAAGGGACGAGTTATCTTATAGATTATTTGGCTCCTGGGTAGCAGTCGTTACGCGAAACATTTCAAAAACATCAACTCTTTATGGCGATGACGCAAATTCTAATGATGTTTATCAATAAGAAACAGTGCTGGTCGAGGTAATGACCTAAATACTTCTGCAATTTATTTTGTAGCTGTTCTTGCAGAACAGCTAATGAAAAACTAACTTAAAATATATTAGTGTAAAATATTTATCAAGGTCAGATCAAACAAGTTAACTTTTGCCTAGAGCATACCTTTTTAGGTTTAGAACGATTTCAACTATTCTACAATGTGACAAAACAAATTAGAAATTAAACATATTGTCTCTTATCGAAAATCATGATTTCAATTGGACTTATTGGCTACTTGAGAATTTCGTCAAGAGTACCGAAGAGGTATCAGCAAAGGAAATATCTATTTTCATCATTACATGTTTGCTGACAATCTCCTATACACCTAATGGTAGCGCGTTAAACGCCGTCAAGCAATTTCATATTTCGCCTGCGTATGGCACATATCAATAGCGATTCGTACCTACATTTATATAGAAAAACTTACTCCCTGCCATTTAGCTATGTTCATTGCCAATAGTTTTCAGACAGAAGCCGATGAGGATGGTCCGGCCAATACGTATGGCGTAGCCTCTTTTGTTGTCAGATCAAAGCTGTTGAAATAATCGACAAGTAATGGAGTACAGGAGAGCAAATAAAATCAGTACTATCAGCAGAAGCGCTACGGTTCCGAACGTATGACTCGCATCCGTTCTACACAAACGCTAAGCATTAAAGCAGCACCCTCCGACCCTCTAAGGCAGATAGGTATGTGCATATATAGAGGAGGCCGAAGCACGATTGATGATCCAAAGTAATTCCGTAATAATTCGTTCCCAGAAACTCCGGAAAGCGAAGCGGTTATACCGGTTATACCTTTACATTGCAACAGCTACCTAGGGAAGAATATGCGATATTTACTGATTTTACGTTTTTACTACACAGCACGTAATGTGAGGTGCGGATGGACACATGGAAACATCGTAAGGTGGTAAACAAGGTGAGCATGGTATTTCGCAGCTCCAACAATGCGAGATTATCTGTATTCGTGTTTAAACATGTACAGCAAACGTGTAACGATTTCAAGATCCTTTATCACTATAGGCTATTAAGGGTATGATAAGATAAGCTTTGATTAATATCTCAGTTACTATGCGTATCAGCTTTATTCTTCTTTTACAGATTTAGTGGTAAATAGGTCATACGAAAGGCCACACGTTTCCACCGCTCAATGCAGCGCCACAAGAATCTTATGAAGTCAGCGTCGAGAATCACAATGGATTTTTATTGCAGCTGCAATTAAAGTCTCTTCAGTCAGTACCGTGTCATCACGTTCTTGATCATCAGTTAGTCTACATCCACATTATCAGCCGATGTCCGTAAGATCGGCGCGTAAAATTCGTAATACGTATAAACCCCCACCTAAAACGATGAGGCGAAAAAAGCTAATAGTATATATCCACGCGGGTGCTTGAAGTAGTCATCGTTGTATTTATAGGAGTAACGATCGTCGACATCGTCGTAATCGGTGGCTCCTAGCAGAAGCATCCACGGATAGTAATGGCATTGGCCAAAAATGGGTTTCAGAGACTTGCAACCAGAGCAACAGGGCTAGTTGCCCCAAATCCGACCTCACTCAGCTTTCATACAGTTGTAATTGCATGCATATATATTGCTATTTGGTTGCCGTGTACATGGCTAGACATGAGACGTCCGTTTGTATACTGTGCGCTGAATATAAGCGTCGCTTGTTGGTTATGAATGTTACTTGTCGCCGTGTGGTGTTACCGCTTCCGCTCGAAACGCCCTCGCGCCGCAAGCGTCTCCTACGGTGTCTGCTAACTTAACGTCTTTCTTGAGCGGCGCGACGAGTCAAACGATGGTTGCATCCTCTAGATGCTGCTGCTGCTGTCGACTCGGGGGGACCCACCCGCACCTGGGTCAGCCCACTTCATTTGCTTCCCTTTGCACGGCTCCTGTTTTGCATCTCTGAAGCTCGTAACACCTCGCTAGCGCTGTCGTCATTTCGTGTGCCTCTGCTGCCACTAACAGCCGTGAATAAATAGTAAAAAATCATCTGCAGGATCACTTCGCCATGGGCTACCTTGAAAAGACGACACGAGAAAACAGCGGAAGACTTGCCCCATGAATGCGTAATTCTAACTTGACTTCACAGGATATCGCGAAGGCGCTCCGGGTGTGACGTTCATTGAAGTTTTTCAAAGTCGATACGACGGTATGCCGCGTGCCAGAAGCAACGTTCACGCCCAACCACAAACAAGTAGATTGTGAATACTGACACGGGGAAACAATTTCTCAAAAAAAAAAAAGTTAATTGAAAAAGAAGGAAAAGTACTATATGTATGAACAACGTTGCATCTCATTCGAAGTTTCGAAGAGATCAACACAACCAACCACAGTTGCACACATGTGCAGATCTATATAATTATTCGGTTTTTTAAGTTTAAAAAAATGTAGGATCTTTATGCCAACGTGAAATCCTATTTGACTGTGCATAGATTTTACAAGAACTTTTTTCTTTAAAAGTCGATTGTGCGAAGCTAAGGTGGTCATAGTCACTTTTTGACTGGGCAGGTCTATTTAAGGAAGTTCGAGATAAAATTCTGCTTTAGAGCAGGTGAGTGTCAGCGATGGCAAATTGTTATTAAGCTATCGATGTTACACCGAGAATAGTTTTAAAGACTTGTTTATTTACACATTAATATGCTACTTCCGTGCCACTTGCACGTTCTCCATCGAAGAGGCGTCTATTAAGCTTTTAGAGGGCGCCAAAACATCTCTTACCCAATAATTTCGGTCTAAGCCTAAAATATAGTAAAGCGTATGATACATAGAGAAAAACCCGTTTTTATGTAACGTCACAGGTTTGCTCGTAATATGTATTTTTGTCAAAATCTTGTTTTCAATTACTCTTCTCCCGCTCCCCAAGTTCTTATCTTCTTTTTTTGGTGTGCGGTGCAAAATGTAAGCCCAGACGAAAAGATTTGCGTTTTAATTTTAATGATATGCTTTTAACGATAGCACGGGTATAATGGACGTATGATTGTAACAAGCTTCAGATTAGTTTAGTCTCATACGCCTTAATCCATGGATGAGGTTGTAGGACACAAGGAAGTCATAACCTAGCGCATGTAGCAGGTAATCTTTTGTGTGTCGAAAATTTATATGGGACTCGTTGGGTCACCAAGACGTTATGCGTAGAGTGTTTTCATCGAGAAGGTCCAATGTTGGTCCAACTTGCGCTCAGATCTGTTTGTTTTCAGAAAAACAAGCTCTGAAAGTTCAATATAGCTTCTGAACATAGTTGATGTCCTTATTGTAAGGCTCATAATTAAAAACGACTCAAATATCAATCGTATAACCCGTCCCTTTTGTGTTTTTGCTATTTTAACTGAACATCGATTGTCTGACACAACATGACATATTCACTTCTATGTACATACACGTATAATAGCCGATTATGTACAATGAAGGACGTGTTTTCCTTGCGCTGTCCGACAATATCGCATGTTACTGTGATTCATAGGTGGAAACAAAAATGTAATCCCACTGTATACATACTAGCCTGGGTCGCGTCCATTGCCTTAGATGTGCGTGGTCCGTCATCTCTCAGGGTTTGTAGTTTGCGGCTCGATATGCTCACTTGAATCGGCCTATCCATCCATGTACGTCTTCGTATAGATGGTATACTTTATTACTAACGCACCGACAAGGTTATAATGATAAACTCTTGCCGTGCGGCAGCATGATCTGATCGATCGACGATCATATAGCGTGATTTGATCGTCGATATTATAGCATTGCTTGCAGCGACCTAAATTAGAGTTGTTGTCGTATGTTTTGCGTCGTATTTAGAACAACGCGATAAACCACCCCGTCGCTTCAGGGTTCATACGCTACCACGAACTCAAATATCGTCTGATCTGAATTTGCTCGTTAAAATGCTTCATACGACCTCAGCTTTCGCCACAAACCCAAGTGTTGCTCTGGCTAATTGGCGTTCGTTAATAAAATTATCATCTAGGCCTAAAATTACACGTACAAGGTAACGTCATGGCGGCATAACTACATCCCTCGTTTCTGTATGCGCGTGGAGACGTATAATAATCGTTCAATTTTGGCAAGTACCGTTCCAACTGATCGCGTTTACCAGGTCATAAATGACATGGGTTCGTGGGCTGAAAAAAAATGGGCAACATTAATCTACGTTGCTTACGGTGCTGTCTTGGACTGTCGGAAAGATATGCTATGTGCAAACTTGCGATATTTCTATTATTCTATCATGCGTTTAAACATCGATTCAAATCGTTTTTGAAAGGTTACGTTACGTACAAACGCAAAGCTTGCACAATGGATTGATGCTCTCTTTGATTTCCTTGATTTTTTTCTGGTTCATATGCGTGAAAATATGTTATTTAGGGTTTAATAAAAAAAAAATAATAACTAAAAAAAGCAGCTTCGAAGTCAAGCCCGATTATCGACTACAGATCGGTCTAGCCGAAGCTAATTTGATTTCTATTAAAGATTACGCGCGATCCCAAGACAGGGTCTCTAACAGCGCTTAATATTAATTTCACCAGCTACGATGGTCCATATTTTTGATTCTACACATTCCTCAAGGTGACTAACTAAACACAATTCCGTTGTTCCGGTAGCGTCTTTTTTATCGCAGCCATTTCCTCGTTTAAACGAAGTTAGCGACCTACGGCGAGGCTTACTCATACGCTATTACTTGACCCGCACGACGCTGGCTAACGACAGATACTTTGGCGATCTATCCATCTGAACGTGTGTGTAGATATCTAGAAAACTCCATAGTGGTATTGCTATCCGCGTGTGGCGGCCTAGCGCTGATTGATGGAGAAAAGGGTCTCTAGGGCGTCATCTGGATAGTGGCAAGTTCCAAGCCAACATGACAGCCTCGCGCCGGTAGCGAATGTACGCGAACGCTGAAATCCACCATCACTAGTAGCAGGACACTACAGGTGTTTATTCAAAACATCGATAGTGGGCGTACGAAGGGGCGCGGCTATTTGCGGTGAGATATGGGGCAATTTATGGAGTCTGATGTGACCATAACAACGGATCGCGTCACTTTATGGCGACTTATTGAAGCTATCACAGGTGCAATTAGACGGCTTCAGGTTCATACGTACTTTGTTAGATTACGGAATTCAGTTAGAAACAACGAAAAATTGTTTCGTTTGCCAATATGATTTGTATGCTAATGAGAAAAGTAAGTACGAAGAGCAATCGGTATAGCTAGCTTAGCTTAGCTTAGCTTAGCTTAGCGAATAAATTCGCCGGTACTGCTGTCAAATATCTATGAATAATTAATTCCAAAACTAAAGTGGAAAAATCAAATATAAATTTCATACGTGATTTAATGGTAAGCTTTGAGCTATGCTAGAGGCAATAAACGGATGATAGATCGGTAAATAAATACTTTGTTAACGTGTGTCACGTTATGTTGCTGATTCAAAGAAGGGGGGCCTACTCCCCACAGCAGATCGCTAGCTCAATTCCATGCGGTTTAACTGTTACGCCCGATTCGTGGAATCGCCATGGACCATTAGCAATTATGTTTACTAGCTACGTATTTCATATTCATCCAGTCTTCTTTTAGAAGCTCCCATGATCTCCTTCCAGAAATACTCCTTCAGCTCAATAATTACAGCGATCGCCTGGATCACATCACCAGCGCCTTGCGAACAAAATCCTTCAGATTTCTACTGCGGGTCGACCAATAATTTTTAAACGGCCACGTCGTCTGCCGTTTCGTACTGGTTAGTTGCAGTCTTATACAATTACTTTCGAAAATTTATTTCAGGCTTGATTAGTACCAGTTTTTTTACCGTTAGGGCCATACTCTACTACTGAAAACAAACCTAGGGTTATCGCGTCCTCAGTTCCCTAACTCTGTCACCGCTGTTTTCACCGAGTTGAAAATCTGTCTTTATTTTATGTCAATCAGAAACGTCTTCCCCACGCTTCATGATAATGCGAAATAGCCTTAGTTCGCTGATCGGATCTACTCCATATGAGTCGTTATTAAAACTAAATCTACCGACACTTTTTTTTATACCTATTCCTATGCCATTGATTTCTGCCGCACCTGGTCAAATTAGCTGATCCTTGACTATTATTATTGTTTCTCTAACTGGATGTAGACTTTTTCGGATGCGTTAAGTTTGGTCTGATAGCTTTTAAACATGAGAATTTCAGAAAAAAAAATTGCGAAGGATCAAGTTGATCGGTAGTGGTACGTTTCCTGTTAATCTATGCATAATACGTAATGTCGTTTGCCTCGGTGTATCTTCCAACTGCTCATAGTTAGTCTTGGGCACCGCAGAGTACCACAAATGCGAATGCCGTAGCATCGTCTCGTATGCACAATCCTAATTGTCTTATCGTACGACCCTCGTACAATGCAGGACACCTTATTTCATACTTTACGGTTACTATTGTGTTATTCAAACTAATTTAGGCAGCCACTTGTATGCTTCCAGATGGAATCAATTTAAATCTAATAGCAGATTTTTCAAGCCTAAATGTATTCATTGAAAAACCGTTAGTGAATACTATTTACGTCTGAATAACACGGAGTAAGTCTATAGCACTTTCGTTTGAAACTTTTACCCTAACGACGGCCTTATCTTATCCGAGGTTAATAGGTCATATTCTAACCGAACTGGGTCGCAAATTAGAGAAACATCTTGACGAGTGTTCAATTCAGTCGACGGTGATGATCTAAACTAACAACTATAGATGAAATACAATAATGTTCCCATAATAAATAATAAAGTTCCCATAATAAAGTTCCCATAAATATACTTACTTGGTGGGTGGGTCATCCGAATACGAGTAACTAGATGTGGGCATGCCTATACCTCTTATATTTCCTACACGTAATGGACGTAAGAAATTTGACAAAGCGCTTCGTTCTTTGTTGATAATCATGTTTTTTTTACCGTGAAAACCTTGCTAGAATACAAAAAAGGCGTTTTTCTATCTCCCTATTTAAGTGATAGGGGGCACGACAGCTGGGCGCAATTCTCATTGAGCAGCAAGCTCTTCTGCTGCTTCTACAGCAGCAGGTTGTTGTCCTACAAACGCCAGAGCCCTCACTATCGCCTCAGTCAATCATCGTGATGGTGGGTGGTCAAGCGCCTATGGTAACTTTCCTGCAAGACAATCGGGGAATGTAATGGGGACGCCTAAATAGAGCGAAGGAGGGGCTGAAAGAAGAGGCCAGTGGCTCCAGAGGTTATTTTTAATGGTAGTACTTTCACGTGTCGGTAAATAAAACGATTCGTTTATGGACGTAGCGATCAATTCAGTGTAGAACATAGTCTGCCAATTCGGGTTCATTGGCCCCCGTTGCGGAAAGGGAGCATCATATGTGGACCATCTGTAGAGCAGTTGCTGCCAGTGATAGACCAATGGGAAAAAAGTGTGTCGTTGTTTTTGCGTTTTCAAATACGGAATCACAATTCATCAGCGAAAAGTGGCTTTGTCTGGGTTATCTGAGAAACCAACTTTCAAAACTGCTCACTGCGTCCCAGAACTTCAGCTTCGTCGTTTCCCTCTATCTCTTCGTAGGCTGTTGTAGTACTAAGTGACCCTTCTAGATAGTACTTCGTTCTTCGAGATGACATGAAGCAATATTGGAAAAGAGCTAAAGCTGAGGTGAAATAGATGCTCGTCTGCTGTTACTGTATAAAGGCATTGTTTCTAGCGGTCTGAGTTAACAACTTATCAACTCCTCTGTCAAGCCTACCATACGCAGATGTTTCTTTTGTGCAGAAAACGGCCAGTATTTTATGAGATGATGTAATTGGCGGCAGGCAGTATGAACGTTGCACTTCTGTTTTGGGTTATTAGTGACATTTGGCCTGATTGAAAAATAATTTCACCTTTCTCGGGTTATATAGTTCGTCCCCGCGGTTTCGTAGACACGGTTTCCCCAGTCCTTTTTTCTGTTCGCTTTACTGTGTCGGGCTAATATTTAGTGATCTTTTGACACGAGTTAATTCAGCTCTTCATCGAATCCGTCATCATTTATTTGTTTTCATCGATGTCCACATGTGCGTAGGGACAAGCATCTTCACAGGAAGCCGAAATCAATGCCAAAACTATAATTAAGACTAAGTATTGGGTAAATATTTTGGCTGGATAAGTGGATCGGGGTTCAGTGGTACTCGGCTGACGTATCAATAGCACATAGCACGTCAGAGAGTCATGTTGAAAACCAATGCTGTAATAAGTTTAGCTCTAGAATGGTTTTCTGGGACATATACTGAAGCGGAACGGCTGAAATTCGAAGTCTAAACCATCTTTCAAACATGCCAATAAACATATTTGGACTAAACAAAATCCAAACAGTGGATTCCTAATAAAACTAACATCAATAAGGCCGATTTAGGCGCAAGCATGTGTAGTTGAGGTGCCTAATAAAAAGACAAATTCATCCTTCTCGTTCGTTGTAATTAGACCTAAACTGCTACTTTTATTTAACAATACATTATTGTTTTTTGCAGGTAACATTGACTGTTTATGCGGAGTTTACGCTTTTAAAATCTTGGATAAGGTGTCACGGTCGATATTGACCGTAAGGATTGGCGATATTTCTACTGGATCAAAATGGCTCTCGCGATTGTTGTATGCTTCTCCGCACACATGTTAAACAACGCCAAAGCAAATCTCGCTATTGGCTGCGGCCTATTAAATTCGTCCGTACGACCAGAAACCTCTCATGATTAAGGACGAGTCAAAGCTGGCGAAGACAGGTATAAATAAGACGTCTATGAATCTCTTATCGACGCGACCGCTGACTAAAGCGGGTCACGAATATATTGGCAAAAGGCGCCACCTATTTTGTTTATGATAGGTTTAGGAAAACACCTTGAGAAGAGCGCCTTTACATAATGGTATCAAGCTGTAACTAACGGAAAATGCACCTAATGGTACGACATTTGTTGTACATAGCTGAATTCGTGCTACTTTTTTAATGTTTTACATTTTCCTAACACGTTACAAGCCAATTATAAATAAGATTAATAGTATTTGTAGAGGCAAAGTGGAATAGTAAGTGTCCTTGTACCTCTGCAACTCCTTGTTTTAATGCAGTTATCAATGCATTTGGCGATCGATATGAAATTTTGCTATAACAAAATTGGCTTTTCAAAGATTTGAAAGCCTCCGTACGCAGAAACGGTCTATTGGTAAACACAAAAGTGGTACGCGCTACGCGATATTCTATTTACTAACGTTTGCACAAATGCAAGACATGAAGGAAAAAAGAGGGAGTCTGGCCAAAGGAAACGGCATGCAATAGGCTCATTCGAGGTATAGCAAAGCTTTAAAATTACTGTTCTAACACTGAGTTTGTTGTGGGTTGACGGAGAAGCCTAGGCGGTAATCAATTAGGAGCGCTGGAGAGGGCCTAACCCAGCAGCGAAACATTCCATCACCTTGAAAGCTTCATAGGGTTATGACAGAGACTAGCGTAATGTCTATCCACTTATTTGCTACAATTGTAAGTTCATTCTTTCCGGTCACTCATTTACGCAGCCTGCAGCTATTGTACAACGTCCGTGATGCTTACAAATTCCGTATGAACTCACAACTGCATACGCTGATTCTAAGTTTAGCTATATTTCGTATACTCTAGCTATCTTACAATACTGAAAAATTTAAATCGTTTAAATTGGCCTTGTCAAAGGTAATCCTATTGCTCAGCTTTATTACTGAAACAAAATATGTATCTTTATTAATAAACTATAATTCACCCAAGCTCTTTAAATTGTAGCTCGATTAATGCTAATTAAACGGAAATTACGCAATAAGGTAATTTTAAGCACGCAATTGATTGCGAATCAGAGCAGACAGCCCTCCACTCAAGCCAAATAACCCACAGGTCTATCGTCAATACAAGAACCCCATTAATGAATCATACGTAAAATGAACAGAGTCAGTTACGTTGGAAATTGCTGCCCTAATGCTGAGATTGAGGCGGTCTAATTTGTACAATATGAATTTACGTCATTGTCTTTGTTTTTCCATGAGGAAAACAGCTGAATGAATTTTTTTATCGAGTTGCGGACAGCCATTGTGGAGAATTTTATGGGCGAGAGCGTAAATGTGGCTACCATTAAATTTTTCGCACTTTATCTACTCATACGTTTTCTTAGCCAACGTTTCCTTTAAGCAGCACGACGCAAGTAGGCTTGTGCAAGTAAACCTACAATATCCACAGCAAACCTATTCCAGGACCTTTTTCTAGCTATGTGGGGAAGTCTCTACCACGGACAGGATGTCCACATCATGCCACCTATTCGTCCTATTTTACTTGTCCTAAATGTCGGTAAAGTCAGGTCATCGTTTCGATGTAAACGGAAATGGCATGTGCACGCAACACCGATAGCCATGTTGCCATCTGACTTAATGAACGATGACGCATTTGCTACACCTATTTACAGCCCTGTTGTCTACAACGGCTACTGTCCAGATAATTATTTCTGCTGGTCACCATGGTCAGGCAAAATGAGCGAGAGAAATTATGTCTGGTCACGATGAGATAAGCGTAGAAGCATGGTAACTTCCCCTGCTACTGGAAGTCCTTATGGCTTGTTCTACCTGTAACAAATCCTAGTTTCATCACTATCTCATAACTCACATGCTACGCTACATTCGCGCCTGACTTGTTAGCTATTTTATGGCCCTAAATGCATAGTTTTTGGTATACACGCAGGCGTTTCGAACTAATCGTTTCTATCATGCTTCACATCTGCGTTAATAAAAATCATTTTGCCTGTACTTAGTTTATTTCTTATAAGTCAATAAGAGTGCCGGTGGAAAAACTGCCCTAACTTCAGTTGGAATAGAACTTATTTTACGACAAGCAATATCAACTTCATGGAAAAGACCGGGCCATTCCCGTAACACACCGTATTGTCCGCAACGGCTACGCATAGCGGGTAAGTGTATATGACTTATCAAGCCACTATCTTCGGTGGAAACTAATTCTGAGAAAAAGACCGAGGGGCATTTATCTATTGGGTGTACTTTTACTTCGCTTTAGTCGAATGAGGAGAAGTGGGTAATAGAATAAGCTGAAAGCAAGTGATATGGCGACAGCTGTCCATAGTTAAATGTTTTTTTTTTCTCTACGCATATTGAAGATGGGCGGGTTCAGCTTTTAGGAGCACACGTGACTGATGGCTTGAACTTTTTTTTTATACAACCAGAAAATCGCATAACAAAATTGCATTATAATCAATTTAACAATTATTTGAGTTCACACTAGAATTGCTCATACGCTTTTCCGCTAGGAAACCTTATCATGTACTAAGTGGAAAACCCTTTCTTTTTTTTATTACACGTTTATTTTTGATGTTAGTTAGTTAGTTAGTTAGTTAGTTGATGATAGTATTTAAGGATAATTTTCAAAGCATTTGTAAGGCTGTTTTGTTTTACGCGGTTTTGCAAATACGCAATTGGCTAAATAACGTTATATACTCGTGTTTCTGCATGAAGATTTATTTAGCTCGCTTAACGAAATATATGGGGTTTCGAACTCGGACCTCATGGACATTGGTTGGCACCAGGCTTTGCCTGGATACATTAAACGGTGCTAAAAATTATAGACACTTTTCAAAATCAATGGATGTCGCAAACATGGGCCAAATTTTGCAACTGTCAAATATCACACCGAAGAGCTCGTTACATATTCATATTTCCAAAATACGGAAACATGCTCAATGTGATCGTTTAGTATGCAGTGAACTTCACTAGTGAATCCCTCATATATTTGCCATGTAGTAAAGCACTTCAATATAGCTAAGTCGATCCTCTTGAGCACAACGCTAGGCAGAGGCGTACGTCTTGTTCACATACAGGTTGAAAACTTTAGCTTCCTGTTTATTA